TTGCGATTACTTGGGACACTCTGGATAAGCTACGAAGGCACAGGCGTTTGGGTTGGGATGGGCTGGGCTGGGTTGATTTAGCATACAAAAGAGGGGAGAAGGCGGGCGCGTAAGACATTCTTAATTCGTCCACGGGATGGGCCCTACACCTTCACCTCCTTTTCTTCTGTTCGTTTTTTCATTTTACACCACTCATCCTGTCTTGAATCCCCGTTTTTGGAAATAAAAAAAGAAGTGAATGGATAATGGATGTAATCCTATGGAGGGGTTGATGACTCCTTGGCTTTCTCAGCATGGAGTTCAACGGGGTCTGGGATCTAATGGCGGACGAAAGACACGACAGTAAAGATTCACCAAGACGGGTCCTGTATTAGATATCACTCTCGACCTTTTTTGTATTCAAAGGCAAAACCTCTCATAACTCTCAAGCACCCTATTCGAAATAGAAACCCAAGAATAGGAAACCTGTACCAGCTCTGGCTCGCTCTGGAGCAAAGATGAGGGTGTGATCATCGACGTTGCATGTGCCACTCACACGCAGTAGGCTAATCTAAGTGAGGGAAAGTCTGCTGTAGAGTCTAGGGGGGCAAGAAAGATCGGTATTGAGTAGTGAGCTGGTTTTGCCTACACTATGTCAAATACTGGAGTTGAAAACATGACATTCAAATGACTGTTACCTGATTATATCCATACTGAAGATGGATTTTGTGGGTGGGGAACTAGTTCAAGGCGTCGCCATGTTGTTAAACGAGGACGCGCATCATTCGCCGTTGCTAGACATGTCATCGTCTGAACCCGAAATTTGAGACTGTGTCACTGGGTGACTCTAGTGATGTATAGAATGCACGGAGACCCTTCAGAGTACCGCCGAGACACGGCAGTTTCTATCTAAAGCTGGGGCTGAATAACCCTTTGACCCTCGTGTAAGTCGGATCGCGTGACGGCAGGTCTTGGCGTAAGTTATGCATAGTTAGTAGCGATTTCCCGCGACAGATAGCCTTGGCTGATGGTGTGCATGCCTAAAGCTTCGTAGGAGGCGTCGAGGCAGGATGCGCGTGTGAGACTGGCAGAGGTAGTGTACTAGTTAGAGAGGTGACTGATGCCAGGAAGACAACATTTACGTGAACAAGGTACCGTTGCATAGGCTGGATTCAGGATAGTGACACAAGGTTGTCGTAGGCTGAGGCAACTAAAGGTATACAGCTCCAGAACAATCAGAAATGCTCTTCACAATCTTGGAGCACCGTACTGCCGGTAAATCGGGCAGTGCTCGGCGGTACGGGAAAAGAGGGGCCGTAGTCTAGTTCCTGACCTTTCTGTCCCGTCACTCCGGTTAAGGCAGGTCAAAGCTTCCAGGGACCAAAGATCAGTACGTACCTCCTAGACTGGTCCATTTCTCGGAATCAAACACCCCACCTTGCAGGGATCTAGCATCAAGATTGTCTCTTACCGCCTGACAGAAAGCGATCCCGCCCAGAATTTTGTGCTCATTGCACCTCCACCAGTCGATCGCAGCCCGGCAGAAAAAAAAAAAAAAGACCCAGCCACTTCTGCCAAACGCCCGAAGGACAATCGGCCAGTCCATTGTGATACCACCCGAAAACCCCGAACACCTAGATACGCAACGAAATCGGGACAGCATGGCGCCAATCAAAGAACCCGTGGTTCGGAGCGCCGAGGGTTTGAAGTCCCAGACCGAGGGCAAGGGTAAGACCCCAGCCGCCTTGCGCGCCGGCGCCCACCAACATCACCTGCACCCGACATGGCTAACCGCTTCGAAATCCCACAGAGAAGAAGATTGAACGCAAGCGCAACCAGCACGAGAGACGTGCGGCCGCCAACAAGGAAAAGAAGCAGCTCAAGGCTGCGGCCGAGAAGGCTGTGCGCAAGGAGAACAAGGACGAGAAGCGGTTCAACCGCATGCTGAGACGGGCTGATAAGCTCGAGGCTCAGGCCAAGAAGCTCATGGCCGAGGCTGCGGCGGCGCGCGTAAGACACGCGGCCATGGCAGAACAGAGAGCGGTAAGTCCACGAGATAGGATGACGGCGATTGGAATACCCAATTCATAGGATTCGGGATGCTGATCATGCGGTTTTGTAGAAGAAGAACGATTCAGAAGCCGGTTCTTCCTCAGACTCATCCTCATCATCATCTTCTTCCTCCTCAGATTCGGATTCCGACTCCGACTCAGAGGCGGAAGAGACCAAGGGCGGCGCAGCTGTTGAACAAGACGAGGATGTCGACATGAACCCAGAGTCACCAAACCCCAGCGCACAACTCCGCGCCGAAAGCGAGGCGAGAGCCATTACCCAGGAGCAGGAGATGGAGGTTGACGAAGAGGAGGAAAAGCCTAAGAAGTCAAAGAAGTCAAAGAAGAGCAAGAAGGTCGAGGAGGAGATTGAAAAGTTTGCGGAACCCGAGGAGCCAACCCCGGCTAAGAAGGAGAAGAAGGATAAGAAGAAGAGCAAGAAGTCTAAGGCCGTAGAGGAAGCTGAGGAAGAGGTCAAGGAGTCCAAGAAGTCTGACAAGAAGCGCAAGCGCTCAAGAGAGGAGGATGAAGACGACTCTGATGGCGGTGTTGCCATTGCCGAGGAGACCCCCAGCAAGAAGGTCAAGAAGGACAAGAAGAAGCAGAAGAAGGAGGACAAGAAGGAGAGCAAGGCACCTGCTGCGGACAACGCTGCTGCTGCCGAGCAGTGGGACGTCGGACACCTGGGAGGAGGCGCAGACCGTCAGCAAAAGTTCATGCGTCTTCTGGGTGGCGGAAAGAAGGGCGCTGCGGCTGCGGCTCCTCAGGTCTTTGGAGCCAAGGGCAAGCGTGATATCAACAAGATCACCCAGGAACTCGAGCAGCAGTTCCAGGCTGGTGTGCACATGAAGTACGATGCTGGTGGCCAGCGTCGCGGTCTTGGTGCGTAAGTTATGGGATTTCTCAAGACGAGGAAGCTGGTGTGGACGCAATAGGTTTTTGAAGCTGTATTCACGTGGCTTTTGTTAGTAGCTCTGGCGTTCATGTTGATGAGGCCGTATGGTCAGGACCAAACAGGGAACCCAAAAAGTCTTTTGATGTAGAATAAAAAGTGAATTGCTTTTCATCGAGGTGATTGCTATCAAAGAGCTGCCTCTGAAAGGAGGAGAAAATGAAATGAACGGATAACTTCAAATACAGTACGCCGTTAACCAGGTGTTCTTGCTTTCCCACGACGAAGGACAAGAAAGCGATGCGTGGCGTTTTCTTTGTACAGACTTGTTCCCACCACTGGAAGCAAGGTGCTGTTTGGGGATATGGGCTCAATCCCTCCAAGTGTTCCAGGAAATTAACACTCCCCCCTTTCCCTCTCCACTGCCGAGGGGAGACTGAGCTGCGTCCTTGTCTGACCGCATCCTCCCCTTGCAAGCAAAACAATACTGCGATTGTGTTTGAGCTCAAGTCCTCAGAGGAGGCTTGCTCGGAAGAAGCGAGTGCGGGCTGAGAAACCACATTGGTCATGCAGCCTCCCCTGTTCTGCGGACTTTTTGTCTCGTTCACACACTCATTCGCTTTTGTGACTGAGTACGAACATCGGCCGGGTCAACTTAGAAGCCGAACATGCGAGAGAGGACCTCGAAGACAATACCACCAAAGACGACGAAGCCAAGGAGGACTGTAGAGAGAGGAAATATTAGCAACTGCTTCCAAACACAACTGGCAGCCTTTTCTCTTGGGAAGGCAATTGGGGGTGATCGCAATTGGAGACGACAGAAAGCGAATTGGGACTACTCACTGAGCCAAATAGGGGAGATGGGCGACTTGGGCGCCTCCTTGGTGCGCTTCTTGATCTGATCCTCGGACTTGCCCATGCGGGACTCGTTGTCCTTAGCGAACTTTGCGTTTGCGCGTCTCTGTTGGGGTGTTTGCGCCTATGGATCAAGGAGTGTCAGTAAGGTTATGATTGTGTCGTAAGTGTATCCTAGTACGAAGCTCGAAACCGTCAAGAACCACTGGTCTTGATGTAGCGGTGCAGCGAGGGCTGTGTTGGAAGTTGCATACCATTGTGGTGATGTATGTGTGGATGAGTTATGAAGGGGTTGCGGCGATGTGGTCTGCCCGATGCGAATTCTTTGGTGATTTGCTTCGTCTTTCCGGTTATTCGGTTTCGAAGTTTGATTCGTTATATAGTGCGCTGGAAGAGGTAGAGGTAGACGTGGTGTTTGGTCGTGTGTGCGAGGCGGATCGTTGTCGAAACTGTGTCGAGAGAAGAGAAGGGAAGCTGGTTGAAGGGACAGATTGCGCGAGGGAGCTTTCGGGCTAAGAGCGGTTGAAGCTAATTACCACGAGGGGAGGTGGTAAAGGTGGTTTGCCGTATTACATACTCCGTACTCACCTGCCTTAGCTTCCTAGGTACCTTACCCGCTAAGCGCGGGCCCTCCACTGCTCATGTACCATTCGTACCGGCCCTCGTACCGGGCTCGTACGGGAATTGCTCTTCTCCCTTCAGGACCTCCAGGCGGCCACCACCACCTCCACTCTAATACCCTCTGATTGTTCGGGACATGGTGTCGTCAAAAAGACGTACGGGGCCATTGCCTGTTCGGGGCCAGGGGTGCCGAAGCCCATGCGCCGCTCAATCAGAAGGGGACCTTGGAATGAGGTACCTTGACCCCTGGAAGAAGGCACATTGCCAAATGCCACCTGTGCCACACGTAAGAGGCGGGATCCGCAATGCCGTAGGGCGGTCGACGCGCTGCCGGGTTATGCGGGGGATACGCGCACCGCCACAGATCGGCGCGGCGCGGCGCAGCGCAATCATTCGAGTCTTCCGAGGACGGGAGCTTTTAGAAAACGGACGGACCTTACAAGCTACCAACGAAAGTGAACCACAATACCTACGGAGAAACCTGCGACCACTCTCAATAGAATACGGATTTTTCTGCGACTAATCCGCTCAATCAGCCATCACACGATCCGGGGTACGAACTGTTACGAAGCGACGACCGATCGACGAGACCGCAGCCCGTCATGGCCGCGCGCAGCAGCACCATGATCCTGAGCAGAGCTCTCCGCTCCCAGCGCACAACACAGATGCCCCGCGCAGCATCGCGGCTCTATTCAACATCAGTAGATGACGAGAAGAGGCCATCCATTGTGGTTCGTGCTGTCCCACCTGCTCCCTCCTGCGACAGCTGTTGCACCCTTTTTCTGGCAGAAGAACCCCGACGACGCTGACACGGGAATCACAAACAAACAGGGAACATTTTATAAAACGTTTACGCGGCCTGTCCTCAAAGTTCTCCTGATGGCGACCCTCACATATCAAATCGCCTACTGGACCTGGACGAAGCTGGAACAGGACGAGATTCGCGGCGAGAAGAGCAAGGAGATTGAGAGTCTCGAGGCAAAGGTCGCAGAGTTGCAGGCAGGGAAGGGAACGAAGGCCTAGAGACATGGCGAGGGCGAATGGAAGAGATCCGAGACGAATCAGAGAGACGCACGGAATCAGTTGCGGTCTCATAGGATCACAAAGGCCGAGATCGGCACGAGAGAATGGAGCCGGACGCCTAGATTGGCGGAAGAGAACATCGCTTCCACTCTCGTCGCAGGGGAGACGGGGTAGCCGATCAGCAATGCCGATTCGCCAGAGGTTCCAGAAATGCGGTATCAAGGCCTAACGGCCAAGTACGTGAGCGACACTCAAGAGGTGGGGACTCTTGACTGTTGTCAAGGACTGGATACGTGCTCGAAATGGGTCTGAGCAGTACGTCGAGTGTAAAATACTGTACTCTACTGTTAGCAGGTTCCTATCGTCCTGCAAGGACATCAATCTAGTCTTATCAAAATTCACAGACGAACGTAGATAGAGAAAAAAGTCTGTAAAATTATCTGATCTTCTAATTCTCTGACAGTTCCTCCCAGCACAGCCAATACAGCCATGAACATACGCAAGGACGGCTTTGTCCCAACCTTCAAAGTAGATGTCGTGTCTTAACGCCGATGCCATGCAATTCATCCAGAAAACCCTCATTACTTTGTCCCGTTGTGCCCCTTACCCATCATACCAAAGTCGGCCGTCAATCTACTAAAAATGAATACCCTCTGCGGGATCGGTCATGTCACCCCTTCTCGTCCACCTAGAGTATGGCTGCACTGAGTGTACCAAGAATGAGAGCCGATAGTAGACCCCATGAAACTGATAGCAATGAGGACTCAGATGGATTGTGCACGGCGCCTGGGTAGTTGCAGGTCAGACCATCGCCCTGTTCTGCGTAGCTCGAGTTGAATATGTCATCATCTGGCGTAGGACAGTTGAAACCAAGCGACGCCGGGCAACTTTGTACCAAGTCATAGCAAAGGTAGGCGCAAGGGAGAATCTCCCTGTACGGGCCTGGCTCAACCATCTCGTCGATGAGGGGGTTTCTCGAATGCTGATTGACTCTGTTGGGATACAACTCTTGCTGGGCGACTGGTAGAAGAGTTCCGTTCGGGAATGTCTGGTTCACGTTCCTGACTAAGGAGAAGTTGGTAGGACTCGTGAAATCCTCGCATCTCGGAATCGTCACCGAGCAGAGCCACTTCTTGTATGCCGTCTCACAATCGGAGCAGTTTCGCGCGAGGGAGTACTGCTGTACTGCTGGCGCTTCGCAGGCTACCTGTGCAAGCTGTTTCTGGAAGTTGGCATACATATCCCGAGCATAGTTGTCGTAGAACTGCGCAAGCTGAGTGATATTCATCTTGTTGGAGTTCGCGGGCACAGCGTATTCCGTCTCATTGCAAAATTGCAGGTCGGTGACGATTTTGCAATTCTCCCCTACACACAGAATCAGTTGCTGATGGCACTGTTGCCCTGGCAGTGTACATACCATCTTTGGTCTCGAAGGGCGTCGCTTCGAAAACCTTTCCGCCGCCGCCACTCTGAGCGCCGTCTTGACGTTTTCTCGAAGAGGATGAATTGCTTGTGCGGACTAAGATGCCCGAGTAAAGAGCACTCGCGTTGAGCCCGTTGAAGAAAAATTGCTGCTTGGGCAGGTTCCCGGCGCCTCTCGTCGTCATAAGAGTGCTGGCGAGGTTGCCAAATTTGCCACCCTTTTTCGCAGCGATTTGAGCGTAGTTCTCCAATCCACACATTGAACGTCTAACACCTTTAGTTGTGGGCTGTTCTCGGTTCTCGACGAACATGATGAACGGGAGCCCGGACCCCATGATCTCCTGAATCAACGTCTCATTTTGGGAGGTCGTTAAGTTCTGCGTCGTCAGGAGTGCAGCGCTAGAGTCACTGTCGACCCAGAGAAGCTCGGAAGGATTTCCGTCAAAACTGTGGAAGAAATCGTCCGTCGACGCCGCGACATCAAAGTTCCAGTCTCCCGTGAATTTGTCGGTATCCTTTGAGGGTGCGCCTATTCCAATGAAGACGTCACCTGTCGCATTGACGCTAAAGGTTGCCGCGCCTTCTACAAAGGCGACCTCCTTCTGTAGAGTAGAGTTCTGCCCTGGTCCAGGTGTCTGATTGTCCTGAGACGTCGAGATATACATCGTGATTTGTGGCGCATCCTCCTTTGTGTTGTTCGCCGCACGCTGTGGCTGTATACACGTGGTCGCTGAGATGTACACGGTCCTTCCCTGAGCTTGCCTGCGGCGTAGGCCACGCTCTTCATCCTCTGGCTTGACGCCTTCGATGCTGACTAGCTCCGGTGAGGTGGATTCATTGCTGCCTTCGCGAGGTCCTACCATGAACGCCTCATCTGTCCCATCGAAGAAGTTGGCGAAGATGGTGATAGCTTCAAAGACAAAACTCTGGGTCGAGTTCCCCGGGACATTGCGGTTGACTTTGACATTGTTCGTTAGACCCGTAACACCGGCAGGTGCTCTTCCAATGATACTGCGGTCGAAGGCAGTGAATTCGGGCTCGTACGTTGGCTCGAGACTGCTTCTTTGCTCGAGACTGTCGTCGAGTTGGACGTCGTCAAGGATTGGCTGTGTAGCGCCGCTCAGTTCGGCAGCGAGGGCGAAGGTGGGCGTAGACAGAAGATAATAGAGAACGATGAGCAGCAGCGACGCAATCAGCGAGGCCGCCAGTCGCGATTGCAGAGGGCTAAGCTGCATTGTGTGGACATGCCCTCCGGGGGCAGATGCCGTTGAATCTCCTCTTACCGAGACGCCGCTCGCTATGGTAAGCTTTCGCCGGCGAGTCGGTGAATCCGGGTGTTGGCGGGAATGCAGGTTACGCTCAGCGAGGGTCGATATGTCGTTATGCTTGATCGCAAATTGGCTGTATCCACCAATTCATTCCATGAAAGCGCGTCTATCGACGGAGCGAATGTCGTCGTGCTGCGTGCAGCCTGTCGAGCGCAAAGGATGCTACGAAACAGGTTAGATGGACGGAAAAGGCCGTCGACGAAAAACGGGCAAACGAAGGCTGTCGAGGTATGGCGGAGTTGGACTTGGAGAATTCAGAAAGGGAGGGAAAACAGCCTTTGTCGTTTTACGAGTTTCACATCCCAAACAGCTGAGAGGCGGGCTACAGGCACACGCCCTCTCAAGGCGGCTCTAAACGGCCAACACACGCTGGAGATCCCGCAGAGTCGATGTAGGAACAGGGGGGTTCAACCCGGAAAGTGTGGGGGACCCCTTTCCAGTTTCCGCGTCTCGGGATCCTCGGCCAGCCCGCTGGGGCTATCCTCGCCAATAGTCCCTGAAAAACCCCCCTAGGCTAAGGTTGCTCACAGCGGATTGGCATTTGGGCTCATGGGCCAGGTGGCGGCGAACTTGGCACCCGCCCGCAACAAACTCTCCCGTGCCATCTCTCCGTTGGACTCAGGCATTGAACTCGCGGGTCAAAGTTCACGCTACACCACATCTTGTGCTGGCGGGCTCGATATCGAGGCCTAGCCAGCTGAATGAACCGCTTTTCTGCAACAAAAAGCGAAAAGAGGCCGAAAGACCAGGGATCAGGAACGCTGCAGATTGCCCCAAATATGCCGCCTCGCTGCCTCCGTTAAGTTGTTCCGGTGACGTGCAGCAATTCCAGTCCGGATTCTTGCGTCAATGGGGCAACGAGATGACAGCGGGCAGCAGCAATGACATGCCGACTGGTATGAGAAATGCTCGAATCATGGTTCCTCTTATGACCTCCACAGTCTCGGACTCGACTTTACCCATGCGAGACGGTCTTGTACGACGCTGAGCAGCAGCGTTGGTATGCGGTTTATGTCAGGGTCTAACACCTTTGATGCAAGATGCCCACTCGACGGCTTGTTGCTTTAGTTGCCCATGACAAAAGAAACATGTATAGCATCTCGACTATCTCTTTGTCTCGAAGCCACCACACTTAATCCCGCACAACGCTTGTATATGTTTCCACATTTTCACCAAGGAACCGATTTCAATGGGAGAACGGTGGCAACGCATGTCGCACGATAGTTTCTTAGCATCATGTACTGACTCTAGTCCATTGCAGAAGTCATTGACTCCGTATTCCGTAGCATACAGTAACTTTAAATGGGGTAACAGGAACTGGTTTAACCGTACATCGTGGCTCTCGCGTTCCTGGAGCCCCCGACCAAACCTAAACAAGCCATCACCGTTGTCTGATAGGGTGGTAATGCTAGCCTCTGACACTCCATCCCGTCTTCTTTGTGCTCTAGGTCGCTGCATAACGTCCATTTGACGAGCTTGCGATTACCACTGGGATGAAGCCGGGCCAGCTGTATAACTCTTTCAAGGCGGATCTCTCAAGGCAATCGACCTATTTGATGAGCTGGCGCCGGGGCGCACTTACTCGGCCTTGCCAGCCTGAGCACGGAGGCCGGAAGCGGTGGAGGCACCGGCGAAGTGCTTGGCGAGCATGGGGGAGAGAAAGGAGTTGAAGATAATCTCAGCACCACTATCGCCAGTTAGCGGAATCTATCACGGGTCGGATTGAACGGAACGTACCGGAAGGTGGGCAGAGCGAGCCACAGCAGGAAAACAAACTTGAAGGTGAAGTAGAAGGGGAACCAGTAAACAACGTTCACCAGGCTCTCAGCAACGCTATGGTATACGAGTTAGTTTCGAAGCTCTGTGACGGACCGGAAAGGAACTGACGTGAAGAAGGCAAAGACAACCCAGTACTAGAATCGACGTTAGCAAGGTTTGGGTGTCAATAATTGCGGGGGAAAGTTGCAACGTACTGTCAACCACTGGGTGTCGTCCTGCTTGCTGGCGGTGAACAGGGCGTTGAGGGAGTAGTAGCCAGGAATGACAAAGCCGGCGAAGTTGGTCAAGAGTTGACCACCCAAGTTGAAGATGATAAGGAAGAAGTAGAGAGAAGCAACGCCGATGACGGCGTAGGCCTTGGGAACGTTGGTCGACTTCTCGATGTTGTTCAAGGCGGGGTACTTGGACAGCTATCGCAGACATCCGGTTAGCAGACGTGTCACATACGTCTTGTAGGAGCTGGAGGAGGCT